CACTCCACCGCTAACTTGTGTAAGAGGTTTTAACATCTTGAAAAAAACAGCCTGAGCCAAAAAGATGTCTAATTGATTTCTAAATGAAGTGCAGAGCTGGTTAGGGGGAGAGAAAAACTGTCCTCGATAAGGGTTGCCAATAAAAAAGCAACAATATAAAAAAAAAGTTGGAAGAATTTTTTAATGAGAAAAATCAAGACACTCTGGGGAGATGAAGAAGGAGCAAGGAAGCAAGGAAAAACACAAAGCAGATCTTTCTCGGCCCTTCGCTTCGTTACATGTGAAATTGTCCATGGGTAGTTCCCTAAATTATAGAAGTTAATTGAAAATATTTACGTTAGCATGACAGGTAGGGGGAGACTCCGCTTCCTCTGCACGGAGCTGTGACACACTGGCAGGAAAATGCTACATGCTAATTGCAAAAAAAGCCTGAAGAAGTCCATGCTCTGTGTGACAGATGGAAGTGGACAAAGGCCCAGTTATTTAAGAGGCAATCTGCACGGAGAGAAAAAAATGAAATAAAAAAAAATCAACGTCTTCAGAAAAGAAACAAAAAAAAATTAAATCAAGTCTAAAAATCTGATTTAAAAATTTAAGCACAGGTTTTAAGACTTCTTTTTCTCTCCTTTCTTAATGAGTGGAATGAGACTGGAAGGAATCACCCTGAAGATTTAGAGAATGTTTTGTTCCATCTGTGTCCGGGACATTCTTTTCATTTTTTTTCTTCTTTTTTTATTTTATTCCAAGTACCCCAAAAACTGATTATTGGTTTCTGCTTCCCTCAAAAGAAAAAAAAAAGTGGAAAATCCAAAAAGCCACTGATGGCACAATTGGTCCTTAGGAGTTTTTACATCTTTGCTGCACCTGGCTTAGCAAAACACTGGCAGCACTTTTCTTCCAGCCACAAATACAGAATAAGAAACTGCTGAATTAATTTCAAGACCTTGGCTTGTTACTGAGCTCCTTGGAGGGCTCAGTGCGAGAGCAAGTGTTAACATTTCCAACCGTTCAACAAAAAAAAAGGACATTAGGAGTTAGGCGTCGTAAATGAAAGCATTAAAACTGACTGATTAACATGAGGCCCGCTGTGCTGATTCCAGAGGGTGTTAAAAGTCCAAACCTAAAGAGACCAATGCTCGTTTGTGTGCCCGGAGGGTCATGGGAGGCCAAGGCGAGGCCTCGGAGGAATCCTGGAACCGCAAAAATCTATTGAGTCACAGTCAATCTCAATCTGTCACCATGCTGAAAAGTAAGAGTTTTTTCTGTAAATTTACGACCTTCACCGTGCCAGCGTTCGCAGAAACCGAGCTGAAAAGCAAAGTGTGAGGTAAGATGTTAAGAGTTTCTGCTCACCGATGAGGACCACCAGTCTGTGTTTAGCTCCGCTCGGCCTGCGGTATTGGGTGACCTCCTCGTACGTGGGCACGTCAGCCATGTCGTACATCTCGCTCTTCTTGCTCTCGTACATGGACTTGTTGGTCTTCTTCTTGTCTCTCCTGCTGAGGCGGAAGCTTCTCCTGAATCCAGCTGGCGGTCCCGGGTTAAACGACAGAGGAAAGAGGGAAAAAAAGGAACGTGTTAATCTGCTGCAGTTTACTTTCTATATGTCAGTGACTATATGTTCAAGTTCCGTGTGCACATAAGTCTGCAGCTGTGCACTTGGATTTATGGTTGGTCTCAGTGTCTTGGCTGAAACCTCTGTCCAATCCTTCCATTTGCATTGTGCAGCTCTCTTTTATGACATTTATCTTTGCTGTAGGTGAAAGAAGTGTGGTGTAAATGTTCAGACAAAAACATTCTCTCTGGTTATCCCACCCAAACACTTTATTCAAATTTTCCCCAGTGAAATGTAATGGATTTTTTTTTTTTTTGCCGCACGCTCCAGGACTCTGTGTAGATTTTGGGGATTTTGTTTTATTGCTGAAAAGTCATACAAAACATTGTTGGACGTTTCCTTGTCAACTGCAGCACATTGCTGTAAAAACCCACGGCGAGAATGACTCATCCTGTTCTTTTCAAACTGGATTTGAAAGTCGCAGAATCCACGGCCAGATTTCTGCTCAGTTCAGTGTGTAAATCAGAACTGACTTGACGTTCTTATTAGGCTGCATTAGTGTGTCAAATTACTGCAGGTTAGTTACGTGTTGTTCAGTCAAGCTATGGCTCCAAATGATTTTCAGATAGGGACGTGGGACACTAAGTGGCCGTTTGTGAATTGTTAAGTGTCCTTGTGTGTAAAAGGACACTTTAAAACACCTATCGTCTCGCGTTTGTTTGCAGCGTGTGCACCGTGACCTCTTTACGCCCTTCCAAGAGTTTCATAAAATATCGATCCACAAGTGTGCACGGCTGTGTCTGATATACTATGACAGCATCAAAATGAGGAATTCAGTCCTAATTGAATGACTAATGTTTCATATTTAGGACAGATGTTAGTTAAATCTGAAAAAAAAAAACATCAGTCTCCAGAACCCAGGATGTCTGATATCCTATTTCTGCCTATGGTCATGGTTGTTTTCTGCCTTTTGTTTCATTGATTCACCAAATCAGTAATTAAGGCACTCAAAAGTATGATATAATACGCCCCAGTTAGATTAAGACAGCATGACAATTATGGTCTGAGAGGAGGAGGAGAGTCGGGGGCTTTAACATCTCTCGATACACTCGCCTTAATACTTTCCACAACACAGTCAAACCGCTGCGGAGCTGAGCAGACACGCAGCAGAGGAAAGAGTCTGCATTCTTCCTGGATTGTTTCTTTTCAAACAGTCCCTTAATGAGGGCCGGAGCAGCGGGCCTCTGCTGATTTATGAATTAAACCTGTTGTAAGTCGTTGCAGCAACAAGACAAATGTTTATGCATGAGCTTGTGTATGCATACACAAGCGTACACACGCTACACACACACACGCCCGAGCAATTCATATTGTGTTTCATCAAACGTTTTCGGGGGCAGACTTTGTTCCACTGTGGCTTTTGCCTTCTGTTCCATTTTTTGCTGTGGTTTATCTTCTCATTCAACACCCTGAGCCCCTCAACTCCACCATCTGCACTCAGACTGGATTACACTCGCTGCCGCACAATGGAAAGTACACGCCGCTCATCTGCATTTCCTCCTCCCAGGACGTTAAACTACTGTGACCAAGATAAACAAGTCCCGGTATTCAACGGCGAACACACGGGGTACATTATGAATATGATATTGTACTTGGTTCTCTTCAAAGTAACACGGTGATCACATGTATCAATTTGGTAAAAAAAAAAAAAAAATAATGCATTTGAAGAATGTTACGCATTGTATACGCAACAATAAGACTGTCTGTACATACATTGTGGCTCTAATATAAAGTTGATACGTTTTCGGGATGTAGATTTATATATTACACATGTTGACGTTTTGTCATAATATCAATCTCATTTCTATGACTCAAAACTGGTGTGAAACACATACATTTAACTACTATTATTTGTCTTTATGTTCCAGCGATACACAGTAAAAAGACCTCATCTCTCCTGGAGGTAAAGTGTCTCTCTGGAGAGTCATGTACACACATCATGTTCTATATGCACTATATATACCATCCCTGGGTCATTACTACACATGCAGCTGAGTCACATGAGCACGTACACACACACACTCATACGCAGTGTGTAGGAACAAAGATTTACATATTTAACACAATACAAACACATGATCTACTATTACACACAGCCAGCAGTCCTGTCAGTCTATTTTCCAGCGTGATAATATCTTCAAACCATGTAGGAAATTTAAAATTAGCATAAAAAAAGTTCCTGGACGTGGAATACTACCAGCCTGCTCAGACGGAGATATCCTCTAAATCAGCGTTTCCCAAACGTTTTTTCCAGGGACCCATATTTCAAAGGTCACAAACCTTTGCGCCCCAAGTCAATAGACATTATTTGTAAACTCTTGGGAAACATTATGTGGCACGACCCCAAAAAAAAATTCTTCGACCCAGTCTTTGGAAAACAATGTTTTAAATTACTGTGACGTAACATTTATTTAAAAGAATTATGATTGCAAAATAACGATATTTTGCTAATCGATGAATGCAGGAGACGAAGCCTAGAAGTAGCAAAAACGTCGGATCCTTGAGACCTGACAGGCAGTGAGTAACACGGCCGTGGGAACAGGAATCAGGCAGGTCTGCTCTTCTCCAAAGGTAAAGAAAATAGAAGAGTACTTCAACCCTCGCAAGACCCCAGCGTGGTGTGGGCTCCTCTCGACTAAGGTTTAACTTACTTTCAAATACAGGAAACTTAGTGAAGGGCCATCTTGACAGCCTTGGCAGAAGACTTAGAACTAATGGAGATGAGATCTATGGAATTAAGTAGGCATGGCAGCTAAGGATTTAGAAACTATTAAGGCCTTTGGCTTTATGGCACATGCCGCGGTTTTGACGCTATAACACAAAGTTTCATTTGTGGGCACCAAATGTGAGAAGCATTACAGGCTCCCTCAGACTCATTATGCCTGCCCATTACTGTCTTGGTTGGAAGGGGTGAGGATGGCTCACGATGGTGTGCTAGGGAGGAGGAGGATGCTTTCCACACTGTCAGCTGTTATTACTCCAACCATGAATAAAGAAGGAGAAGAAATGTTACAGATTATAATAAACCAAATACAAACTGCTGTGGTGGGAAAGACCTGCTCGACTTGACTGTTAGGACAAATTGTTATATCGTTGTATTCATAATACAAGGAAGCGTGTCTTGGACAAACATGTCGGGATTTAGTGGACCGAGGATTACCGCGGACAGAAATGGGACCGTGCCACTGTGGTCCCAAGTCAGGTACAGTTAATGTCTCTGCAGGTCAAAAAAATTATTTTAAAAAAGTTGAGAAATGTTTGAAAAGGTACGGAAAAACAGAAATGGAAAGGATTTAGGTGAGAGGAGTAAATAGGTAAAAAAAAAATTTGGGAAAAGGAGAAGAGGAATGTTGATGGCTGGAGGGGAATTTGGACAGAAGGGAAATCAGAAAAGGGATCAAGAACGACAAGAAACAAGACAGATGGGGAGCGTAAGTGGGCGAGGAATCTGGAGATGCAAGCAAGTAAAGAGGAGGAAAAGGACATCTCCAGACAACCGTGCATGTGTCCTTCAAATGCTCCTTCCGCACAGCTGCTGCGATGGATCTGTAAAAATGATCACGCTACGCTAGTAAAGAGGACTCCATGGCTGATCCTGGGATAGCGGATTGTAATGAAGTGTCTAAATGTTTCCGGCAGTTGCGTACACAACTCATCTGTGAGCCGTAATGCACATCGCACATTTGGCAATAAATGACAACTGAAGCCAAAGGTGAGTTCTGTCGGTGTGATATTTGGATCACACTCACGGAGGTCGCGGTTCCCAGAGGTTTGCGGTAGCAATTGAATTAAAATGTTGCCTGAGAAGAGCAAATTTTGGGAGTAGTTTCCAAGGTTTTTGCACTTAGTAGCAAAGTAGCGACTTACTCCAGTGGTAAAAAGACTTATATGGTGAAACAGCACACGAGATCTCTGGCTGCAAGGAGTCCATTTGTGTCGAGTGCTATTTGTTTCCACCTCTGTCTTATCCAAAAGCTTTTTTAAGGCCCAGG